TTTTGATAGCGAAATGAGTCGTACCTTGGTGTTATGTATACAATTAGACTCAGCTTCCTTTTGGTGCTTATTTATTACAAGTCTTGACTGAATCCTTAGTTTAAAATAAATATTAAATTTGTTACGATGAGTGCCAATTTTAGATACTTACGTGTGGTGCAGTAATCGCCTTGCCAACCAGCTAAACACACGCGCTCACCAGTTGGTGAACAAGTGTAGTGGCCAAACTGATCGTCGCGTTTCCGGCAAAGATTCGCACATCCCGCTCCGTAGTATGATGGATCACACGTAACCCGAAAGGCGTATTGCATGCTCGAGTGTGACGAATTGTTACTGTCCTCCGTCCACTCGGTAGAGACATCCAGAACTCGTTGGTTTGAAAAACGTGATATTAAAATACCTGAAACAGAACAGTGTAAATGCAGAAAATTAATTTTAAATCTTCATGTGTATCTACACCCAACCGGTGGATGTAAGATTCGCTTACAATTATGTGGGATTCATCATCAGAGGATGTAAGTGGAGACCGCATGAACCGAGGATGCGATATACCTAGCTGCGGTCCAATGCAAGGAAATTGGAGACCGAAAAATGTAGAGTGTATTAGTGAGGTAAATTTATTATGTCGAAAAAAAATAGGAAAAAGGTTGCCGACTGGACTCGAACCAAGAACGTTGCGATTATCAGAACTGTGCTTTCTCCACTGCTCTCTCCATGCTTCTGAATAAAGATAGCCTAAAAGCAAACAAGAAGCGTTCCTTTCCTCTCACACTCGACTTCGTATGCTTTTTCTGCTGGAGAGATTCGCGGCAAGGGTGTGCGTCGTTCTACCATGTTATACATAAAAATCAAGGCAAATGCTTGCTTGTGTAGGTGAAAGCACAGACAGAACACGAAATAAAAAAGGTAAAAAACCATTACATCGCCTGTAAGGTCAACATCTAACATTCGCTGCGATGTTCATGAACAGAGGATGATAGGAAATGGAACTAACATTCATTGTAATAGATTTTTGGTTTGCGTGTAGTGCTGCAAATTAACGACCATACACGGTAATATTCACAAAACAGCTTTCATCACTCATTCGAGCTAAAAATAATCTTCACGAGAAATTATGCCAAATGTTAGTGACGAACATGTGCAGTTTTATTATTACCTAAACTTTAAACGGAATTAAATGCACTAAGCAATATAAATCCATGGAGCAATCAAAGTTAACAAGCATCTAGGTCCGTTACTGCATGGGTTGTTAATGTGTTTGTTGAACCAGCCTTGTAAATAAAATAAAACTGCTAAAAACTTTGTAAATAAAAGGAAAAAATTATAATGTGGAAAAGAATACACGAATTACACTTTTTGTTACTACCTAGTTGAATCTTTGTCATTTAACGAAAAACTTAATTATATTTTGACGAAGGTTTATGTGAGAGTCAATTCTTCCAGTGACAAAGTAAAAAAATAATAATGTCAATATCGCGTGAAAATTTCCAATGACAATGACAATTCTCAGCACTGAGTGTGTGTATCTTCGTAATGTTTGTGTCGTGGAAGTAAACGAAAAGAAGACCGCCTGTTTGGCAGCACACTACCGTAAGCGCTAGGCAGGAAATGATGAGCTATTTTTTCTCTCTCCGCCATACAAAATCCTACCACCACACAACCAGAATGTGCCTACAGAAGCTGAGTCTTAATTTCAACTGATTAGGTACGAAAGAGAAGCCTAAATTAAACAAATTCACCATTAATTTCTACTTCTTAATGCTCTGGCACTGCACTACACCAGATACAAGACGAAGATAGAAAAACAGATGATAGAGAGTGAGCATGCGGGGGGTTGTGGTTTAATCAATCGTATTTTGTTTCCTTGTTTCCTTCTCCTTACGGTTGGTTACAAATATTGATTTAACCTAAATATGTTTATATGCGAGGTATAAAAAGCAATAATAAAATGGTGAGAAAATGAAGCAAAGCTATGAAACCAAAGAAAACATACAAAGGAAATACGTTATGGGAATATGAATTACCAATTTTGTATTTCACTCAAATTATTTTTCTCGCACTTCAGCTATTCGGTGAAACCAACCGTCGGCAGAAAGAGCAACAGAAGGGCAGAATAGTGTGGAGTAAGTATACGTATTATGTTGTGCTCAGTACGTAGAAATCCATCAATGGGGGTTTGAAATCGGAGGATGAAACAGTTTTTGGCAACCAGTAGTAAACCATAATTGATGCCTTTCAGAAACGCCACTCACAGCAAGGCCCGTAGGCTAAAAACTTGTTTGCTCGAGTGCAACGTATGTATTCTGCGGCAGGCATGCAATACGGAAGCAGTGACGGAAGGCGACTGAAAGCATGCACACGAATGAACTAAGGAAAACGAACGACGTGACGACTACGACGACGGAAAGAACCACTCTTATCCAGACAAATAAAACACCTGCAGTAGAGCTTATACTTGCATTTCACTATTTATGCCTGAGCGGTTGGAAAACACACACCTTTCTGGGCATACCTTCGATTTCAGTTAAAACTCCTACTTCCTAAAACTTATCGAAATAAACAGGATTATCAAACTAGTCGATCAAATTGGAAAAAAAAATAAAAAAATTATAGAAAGTAGGAAATGCTCTAATGTTGGCATATGGAATTGGGTCCATCGCTAAAAATCTGCTATTTATCAATTTTATCTAGATGCACGCGTCATTGGGACGGTACTAATGTATATTTTTGGTCGCTACTGAAAATTTAGTCGATTGCTGAATTAATATATGGGCCCACATTAGAGGTATTTAGGCCGACATTACATCCATTTCCCCTCAAATATAAAATAATGCTATGCTTAGATTGAATAGATGCCACCTAGTGCAACAGCAAATAATCTGCAAAGTATAACCATCTCAGTTATCAGCCCAATTTGTACCGAAGACTTCAATGATGGTAAGGATATAAACCTGCACGTAAAACAAATGGCATGAACATCAAATGTAAGTGGGGATTCCTGGATTCCATCAGTGGCGCAGTGTCCGTGGCGTGGGATGGGGTGTGATATCATATAAATTATATGGAAGCTATTTCGATTTATAGAGGAAACAGTTAAAAAAAAGCATTCTAAATATACATTCTATCCAGATTTTTTTTTAAATATACATATCATTCCCGGACAACTAACTCTGTGAAGAACTATCAATAAATTAAATGAAAATTGGATGCTGATGGAAACTTTTTGGAGAGGTTGGAAAGAGCTTGAAGAGCAATCATAAAAAAAACCTCCGGAGAAAGTTAGAAGAAGCTGATAGACTCCCAACCCAAGACGGAAGAAACTTTCAGAAAAAAATTAGATAAACTTCCAAAAAAGTCGGCGGACATTTCCGGAGCATGTCAGCAGGACCTCTGGGAGAGCTCGGAAGAAGTTCTAAAGATAAATCGTTAGAATTGGCCAATGTCAGTCAAAAGAAACTTCCAGATCAAATATAGAAAAACAAGTTGCAGGACTCTAAACAAAGAAGTTGCAGGACTCTTCCGGTGGCAATCGTAAACAACTTCCTAATAAAACTGGAACAAGCTTTCGCGGAGATGGAAAAAAGTTGGGGTAAACATTCCAAGAAAACTAGAATAAAGAATAAGGTTCTTTTAGATTGGGTCTATCGCTAAAACTCTGTTATTTATATATTTGGATTTAACATCCAGCGCCGATGGTGCAATGGGTAAGCGTGACTACCTTTCACTCCAAAGGGCCTGGGTTCAATCCCAGTCGGCGCCGTCGGGATTTTCTGAGGCATACAATCTCTGATCACGCCTTCATTTCATTATTGATTTTTCTTCGGCTAAAATCTTCCCATGGGGTGCTTATAATGAAAAATACTAAAACAATGAATTCTAATTCTGCATTTTGATATTAATACACAAAAGTTTCATCGGGGATCTTGAACATCAACAAACATCAAACATCACTAAAATTGATCCCCATTCTGTGCATATGAAAAAGAGTAAAAGTTGACCAATATTTTGTAACATCAAGGTTCTTAGGGGTTTGAACCCTAACCTAAATAAGTGGATTCCAGATGAAGAAGTGTACAACAAGGAAGAATGTTGTATTTTTGCTATGTTTCTAACCATACACTTTGTGGCGCACTTTCTGTCGGATCGATTGAGTGTTTGGTATTTCTCTTCTCCGCTGCTTTACTTTTACGCAAGGTGAAAGGCTAGCAAACTTTGCGTTTGCTTGATTCTAACTTTGAGGATTTCAGAAAATTGACGCATTGAGTGATCAGATGACAGCCCTAGGTGAAACATTACAAAGTCATTACATTACAACTCTGTAATAGAGTCGTACATTTCTCGATTGATGTGTATTCTTGTTGGATTAACAATGCATTAAATAGCACCAGTTGTCAAGATATCACCGAAGCGAAACAGAATTCCTGACGTGCAGGATTCTGAGGGGATATTTCCAGAACCGATTTCTTGCCTACGAGGCGAACATGGGACAAAGATCGATTAGGATCACGGTGGGAGTTTTACAAGGCTCCATCCTTGGTCGAATGCTCTGGAATGGAATATACAACGGCGTGCTGACGCTGAAGCTGACCAAAGGAGTCGAGATCGTTGGCTTTGCGGATGACGTCGTCTTAACTACCATAGGCGAGACTCTGGAAGAGGTGGAAATTTTGGCGACCGAGGTGATCTACACGATTGGAAACTGGGTGCAAGGTGCGAAGCTGCAGATAGCCCAACACAAAAAGGAAGTGCTATTGGTCAGTAACTGCAAAGCGGTGCAGCGGATAGAAATCACCGCAGCGGTACTGAAATACATGGGAATGATGATCGGCGGCCGCCAAAAATTTAAGCGGCCACGTTGAATATGCCTGCGAAAAGATGGCCGTCAACGCGGTAGCTAGATTCATGCCAAGCAACTCTGGACCAAGCAGAGGCGGCTTCTGGCTAGTGTATTCCCGTCGATGCTGAGGTACGGACGAGGGTACGGAGGTACGTCTAGACTCATGGCCATGCGAGTTGTGAGCGCGTACAGAACCATTTCGTCGGAAGCAGTATGTGTTATCCCCGGAATGATCCCTATCGGCATCACTCTGGCGGAGGACAGCGAGTGCTACAAGCGGAAGGGAACCAGATTAATACGGAAAGTGGTGAAAGCGGAATCGATGGCCAAGTGGCAGCAGAAATGGAACACAGCGGAGAATGGTAGATGGACACAAAGGCTAATACCGGTTTTCTCGACCTGGTTGAACAGAAAGCGTGGAGAAGTCCACCTGACGAAATTCATATCTGGTCAGTATTTGCAGCGGTTCGGACAAGCAACGTCACCCCTCTGTCCGGAATGTAGAAATGTGAAGGAAACATCGAAGCACGTGGTCTTCGACTGACCTACATTTATAGCAGTGCGAAAGAGATACCTGCTCTTAACGCGGAAAATGTCGTCGATGAAATGTGTCGAGAGCGAATACCGTCAGCAGGGCAGATACGCAGTCTGAGCTGCAACGTAAGTGGAGAGACGATCAACTAGCTAGTAACGTCAGCTAGCGCTGAGATTATCAGAAGCGCGTGCTTATGCAGACCCTCACATTTTGTCTCCACGTGTTGACAGTCCGTTTAACTCTGCTGGATTCATCTTCGCCAGTCTATGTTTACTATACCGCCTGTAGTAAAAACGGCTAAGTTCGTTTTGAGGTTTTCGACCCCTGCGCAAAATAAAACTTTTACACTTGTTTGGAAGATCTTTTAGAGTCAGACTTGTATATATGTATGTATGTGTAAGAAGCCCTGCTACACAGAGCGGTCAAATTTCGTTATCATCATTCAGAATTCAACATGTTGGTGTTTGAATAACCAAAAAGGATTGGGTGGGCCCGTAAGCAGACACACTTACGCGAAACCCGCGGGAACAAGAGAATCACCTTCCAACAATAACGAATGATCCAAATAAAACGAATAATGAAATTCGAAATACATAATAAGCTTTCCACGGATGGTTTGTTTGAGAAGAGCGCGTCAAATTCAGTAAAATTACAGTACACATTTCCTCCTAGACTCCGGTTGGCACTCCACTCCATTGTTCAGTTACAATTTCAATGGTGCTCTGATGCTCCCTCACGTCCCAGCATTTTTGAATATATACCTAGCAAAATTTTACATATAAATAGGCAAAATTTAATGTTCATAAAATATATAGTAGTAAATATATAATACAAATAACCTAGATTTTAAATTATTGCAATTTAACTTCCTTCAACCCATTGCAATGGCTTCAAAGTCCAGCAGTAATCCGAGTAGAGAAATAAAGAGCAAATAACGTAGAAGAAATGCATTTTGAATAAATTAGCAGTGACAGTGAAATTAAACGCACGCACAACTCACGGTCAGTTAAACGCTGTAAAAAAAACATCGCTACATAACTGTTCGCTGCGGTATTTCATAACTGTAACTCTAGATGTAATAGAATTTCCCGAAAACAATTTGCGTCGCCCAACATGATGTGTATATACATCCTAATATTATTGAATAAAGTGTAGAGTAGTGTGTCAAGAGTTAACGAATGACCACAGTGGTAGTTATTACTTGATAATTCCTACGGCAATATTCCGAGTCAGTCCTGATATTAATCTCAATTATTTCCCGTTTACAAAGTGAATAGGAACCTTTTTTTACTGGCCGGCATTTGTAAAAAAAATTCAATAGCGAATAATTAAAATTAACTAAATTATAGAAAAAATAAATTAAAAACAAATCAACTTCAGGGACAATTTTTGTTTAAAGCTAAAGCAAATTTCAACTCAATAGTTCTCTTGATGTATTCGATTACAACCACTTGGTCAGTTCTATACAGTATAGTGCATTCTATACGATTACATACTCTACGATTATTTCCATATGAATACATACAACTAGGAATCTGATTTGAAATATTACTGCGAATCCTCAGCAATAAATAAATTATAAAATAAAAAGTTAGGTCGATTAATCTACTTAGAATATTTCTAGATGATGATGATGATGATGATGATGATGATTATATGCAACTACCACTCACTGTAGCAAGACTACTGTCGGTAAACTGTGGACTACCCTCGCTGTTCGACTTGATCAAGTTTAATAACCTCTAACTGTACTCAACCTGCCATTGTATGAAGAGCCAAAAACGGTTGGGGTGAATCTGTGGGCAACATCGCCCACGTGCATCCACGGGATTAATGAGAATCTCCTTCCAACAACAGGATCATACAACCGATCAAGAAACAGGCCATCCAACAGGAGGATGTCCCAAATGAGTGGGAACAACAGCCCGCCCTCTTTTCAAGAAATGTTAAAGACAAGGAGTTGGCATTTCCACTCTCCCCATCCATTTCGCTTCAATCGGGTGCCCTGGCGTGCCCAGCATTTAATGTTTTATATAATAATGGAATGAAAGTTAAAAGAAAAATAAAGGAGAGATCTCATCAGATGATGCAAACGAATCCATGACATCACGATAATTTCGAAGAGCTCTCATAGATATGCTGCCGCTACTTTTTTAACCGGTGTTAAAAACAGCACTCCCGCCTTTAGTTCCTCACACAGCAGCGCAAACCCCTATCAACCACGAAACACACTCTAGCTGCTCCAACTAGAGGGACCTCAGAAGGAGCTAAAGAAGGACTGCGTCCACTTTCCATCACCAATCACTCGCGACACAACGGTTTCAATTCGCCAGTACACAGTCTGTGAGAAGCAACGCCAGCTCCTCACCGGCCGAATCAACTCGCGACCAGCGCCGAAATCAGAGCCGACAACTCCAGCGACTGAAAACAAATGCGTCTAATAGCGGCCACGGCACGCTTCGATTGCATTTCTGAAACACAACCTCCACGCACAAACACACGACGACAACATTCGAAAGGACCTTTTGTCCAGGAGGTGGAACGCCAGCACGCAGCAAACAAGGGAAGAAAAATGCACACACAGAGTACGAACTGGCCGGCTAACGTTGAAAATCAAACGCAAACGCTTCAAAATTCCAGTCTTTTTTTTTTTGGTATCAAGCTGGAGCTGCGTGACAGCTTAATTTTCAAGACTTGACCCATTTGAATAAATTTTGCTTCTATCTTTGACAATGCAGCAGAAGGACTAGCCTATGTTGGTCGCTTGAACACTGGATTCCGTATGTATTGTTTCAAGATAGTTATAGAAAAAATTCTGTGACGTGTGCGCGTAGATACATCCGCGTAGTAAACCGATTGAATAAGTAAATCCGTTTCAAACCAAATATCTAAATTATGTAAGTCGAAAACCGCGCGAATTCCGAAAGCCGTGCGAGACAATCGAAGCGAGAAAAAAGGCTTATTATCATTTAAAGAGTGCCACCAAAATAAAAGTGATAGCCTATGTTGGCAAGTTGATTAATTTTGGTTTCCTCCCTAAATATTCTACTTATTTTACTGTTGAGCTTTGTTTCAATTTAGTTATTTTACCGCACGTATCAATCATTTCAAGATTTCGCGACCGTACCGAACAAATTCTATACTACAGAAGCTCAAAAAAACTTTTGGTGAGCTCTACCGCATTGCGAATCACTTCTGCATAAGCTCCGTAGACGTAGGCGCGTTGATTCCGACAGCCGCGAAAAGTTAAACATGCATCAATACCACATAAGGAAAGATCGATTTTACGTATGGTTTAGTTCATAGATTAACATTGACTGCTGTTTACAAATGTAAGTACTTGAACACTAAGAAATAAGTTAACTCAAATGCTTTAACCGCATATATAAGAGATTTCGCGTATTGAGAGAATTATATAGTAATCGAGTACAACAAACTCAGGGGAATACAATACCTCCAAAAGTTTAAAAGCTATTAATTGTCACATACGTCCACTTTTACTTATTTCCTAAACTATTCCTCTCCTTGTTAATCTGCTAAATGCTATTGGTCTGCCTGCGTTTTCTTTTAAAAGTTCAAGACTAAATAAGAAGATTTATTCTACAACTTTAAAGGTTAGTTGCCTCTCTAAGCGGACCCCCCGCATCCTAATTCTTTTGTTAATCTACTTAATGTCATTAGACTTTCTGAAGTTTCTTATTTAAGTTCATTTGATGATTATGATATCTCATTAGTATAATTTAATAAATTATTAAAAGCTCTAATTCACCTAATCAAGCATAACCCATGCTTTATTAAGTACCTGCACTTGTGCTTGTAATCTAAAATTAAACGTGTTTCAAGTACTTTTGATTTTGACCTATACCTATTTATTATATCTTAGTTCGACCCAGGTAACACCTTCATGTGACTAAAATGCTTCATTTTGAAGTTAGTTTCCTAGCTGATTTTTAAATTATATAAGGTATATGCTCCAATTACGCTCTCACGTTTCCACTATGTCGCACCACAAAAATACATATGGGTATGCCACAATAGAAGCACACCACAGTGCAAATCCCGAGCCATAGTTCAAACACTTATCCCAAATCAAAATCAAGCACATATAAGATTAGTTACAATACCATGTACAAAAATGATGTTCAACATTGTTTCCTGAGTAATACTTCAATGAAAACAACAATGAAAGCTTGTCACGCAAATAGAAGGGGCACCGTTGGGCACTTTCTGAAATATTTCAATAGTATAATTCCCTTTCAAGCCCAAATAAATCTATCTCCGTAAAAATAAATAAAATAAGAGTGGCAAAACCCGCCAGTATCACACCCAACGTCAGTGCCTATACGTAAGCGTACTACGACGCGGCTCTCAGTTAAAGGAGTAACAAGTGTGATACTATCACTGCTAGACTAGATCTTTGGTTCTCTCATGCAGTGGTTTATCAGAGAGGGGAAGCTTAGTAATCCCCATTGCCTGCCCATGACGCCATTCTATCGCGGCATGAGCCAGCAACGCCGGCCATAAACCTACTGTCTCTAACACTCCACTATAAAACATGAAATTAAGCCCGCCCACCAACAGCAAGGTGCAAAAACTAGCCAAGGGGAGGGCTTCAAAACTTTAGAGTCTTTTTAACCTAAATATTTTAAGCTTGGACCCTCTGACCGCCAAGTTAAAACACGACATTATTAAGCCAGCCTGCGATGGCGAGTTCATCAAATAATAACGATTAATTGGTGTAAGTTTCAGCTTGATTGATTGCGTATGCTTGAAGTTTGATCGATTTAAGGAAAACTCCTTGTTCCAAAAGAAATAATACTATTTCTTGAACTATAATGAACCTAATTTTTTGATGTTTTACTAAATCCGTTCACTACGAAACAAGTATCAAATTGAGCGTGTTTCTAAAATTGCTCAAAATTCTTACAGACTGACTTAATTAAGCTCAAATCCAATATCAAAATTTTTGAAATATATTTTTTGAGTCTAATATATTTTTCAAAATTGTC